GGGGTCTGCTCGACATGAGTTTCCATGCCGATTCGGTTCCTCAGGGATTTGACAGCTTCAGCCAAAGCAAAACAGGCCGGTTCTGGATCGGCACGTATGGTCACAGATCTATGGCCAAGATAGGAAAGAAGCTTGGTCAATTCGGTAGCCATGTAGTTTCGGTTGGCTGTCCCGCCTTTGCTTTCACAGGCCATGCCTGAACCCGCTTCGTTTGTGAGTCTGATGCAACCAGGCAGCACAACTTCTCAGAACCTTCCTCCCGGCTTGTGTAGCAGAAATCGAAGGCCAGTACTGAGCTTGCTCTGGCATCATCATGCTTTGACTCACGCCGGTCAGCTTTGGCTCTAAAGGCCACGCAGCGGTGACACCAGCTGGCAAATGGAGTATGGGTCAGGCAATGCTTACGCTGCTGCTCCTCGCTAGGAAGAGAGACACCTGCTTGCTCATTTGGCACTCTCACAGTTGCATCAACAAGTTGCTGCCTCGCCTGATGCGCTGCAATCAAGGCCTGTTTGGAAAGGTGATCTCTAATCCTTTTCAGGACCGTACTCTTACCTCCGCTACGCCCCAAACCAAGGCTCTGAGCAGCTTGCCTCAACACTGCCAAAGTGCTGTTGAGACTCAAAGTAATCCCATCCACAATCAGAGAATCACCCTGATCATCAACCTGCTCATGCTGCTGCGGCTCAATCATGACCTCATCATGATCTGACTCATGCTGATCACTCGGCACATCAGGCAAACGGCTAGGACCTGAGCCTAAATCAAATGACTCAGTGACAGTCAGTCCAACATCGGCAGGGGCAATGTATTTGCGACTTCCAAACACAATGACCTCTTGGCTCTGGACCATCTGTCAAGAAACCACTGGGATCTTCCATGTCGCTGACTGGCTCACACCACTCAAGAACAAGCCACTTGTCCCCATCTCTAATGAGAGTGCTCCGGAAGTCACAACCCTCACGCGGCAAGGCCATCCCAAGGTCAACATGACGGACAGAGTACCCCTTCAGTGCAAAGATGTCTGGACCCAACTGTACAAAGTAATCAGGAATGCTTGTGCTCAGATTTTCTATGGCGCACGTCACGGCCCTCACACTGCATTGCGCACCTGGGATACCTGAAACTGCTCCTGCAACGCTACTGGGAACCTCTGACGATCCCTGCGCACTGCTGCTGGGAACCTCTGGCGATGCCTGCGCACTGCTGGTGGGAACCTCTGGCACTACCTGGGCATTGCAGTTTGAATCCTCAGGGGTGCCATGTGCATGATCCAGTTGGCTCATCATGCGAATCCTACACCTTGCGGCTAGGCTGTTGTTCTTGAGATACACACGTGCTCTGAAGGTGTTATCAGGATTTCTCAAGTACATCTCCCCATCTCCAAGGTTTTCGATACCAAAACCGGCACGGTACATCTTTCCAACAGCAAGGAGAGGAGTTTCAACCGAAGGAGCAACCAAAAAGGTTTCTGAAACGACGCCGCTGCAATGTTGATCCTGATCTGCAAAAGTCAGAACAGCTCTACGTGTTCCGCTGACATGAAGCGGATTTCCTTGCGCATCAGAGTACTTGCTGCGGTCTGTTGACGACAACTTGCCAACCCATTGCAGAGAAGGAGGCAGGCAGGACGCATCAGAACCAGAGTCCAGGATGAACTCAACTTCCTCCCCAAGCTCATCATCTTGAGACAGCATGCGGACGCAACCACCATCAAAGCGACGGCGCTCCTGTGAGGGAGGCTCACGCAATGCTGCATTGTGAGAAACACAGCACCCTGAGATCAACCCACTAATATAACCACACACTCTACACATGAGGCTGCTGCCTTCACCTGGGGAAACCTTGCATGTGCTGGCTGAGGCGCATGTGCTATGCCCTAAGCACGCACAACTTCCTGGCCCCTTGGTGCACAGCCCTGAGCTTGCACCATCACACACTGATGCGCACTGTCCAATGCTTGAACATGCACTGAAGCACACACAAGGACTGAAATGCTTGCAATCCAACCTGTCCATCTGCACAACACAGACCTGACCTTCATTTGACTCACTAAAGTCATCAAGATTCAACATGAGGCGCCTGATCTGCGGCTTTGGGATAGCCTTGGGCTTTCCGTTTCCACCATTGCCTTCGGCGGACGCGGGCTGCGAAGGAGATGCTTCGGCTTCAACCTGTTGTACCTTCTTTGGGAACGGGCAATCTCGGGCAAAGTGGCCTTTACGCTGGCAATTATGGCATGTCTTGTTTGCATCTGGGTTGTGGGCTTGCTTGCCTTTCCCTTTGCCATCCTTGCCTTTGCCTTTTCCTTTGCCTTTGCCTTTGCCCTTATACTCTCCCTTATTTCCCTTACCTTCACGATTCTTGCCCCCTTTACCTTTACCATCCTTGCCCAAGCGATCAATCTCCATGGGAGTCGGCTGATCTTGGAAAGTTCCACCTTTCCCTTCAGTGAGACCAAACGTTGCGGCAACTGAAGCTCCCCACTTGCTTGATGACGCATCATAGCGCACAACAACTGACCTGAGCGTGTCATAGGTCCATGAGTCCTCCATCAGGACATTCACATGTTGCCTGAGCTGACCTGTAAGGCACCTAAGCAAGGAAGCAACCTTCTGATCGTCTGACATCGGAACGCTTGCAATGGAATCGTACTCACCTATGGCTTGCTCTAGCCTGAGCAGCTGGCTCAACAGGCCAGCCTTATTCTCGAACACGGGCCAAGAGTGA